GAGGAAATGGATAAGTGAGTATAAGTAAAGTAGAGGGTTTTGAACATGCCGTTTCTCTTCTCTATCAGTCCTCGAATAATGAATGCGAAAACTTTGAGAGAATGGACACTTAGATGTTTGTGCTAATTATGAGCCAATAAGTAGGAAAGAGAAGACGGAAAAAATATGTCCAATGTATTTGCTTTTATATTGTTTGCCTCACTTGAAGACTTTGGTGTATATTCCCTGCTTTGCGAGGAAAGTTGTTGGTAGCTCCTAATTTAGACTCGAGCACTCGTCAGTATATTGTCATTAGGCTTTAGGGATACAGATTTGCGATACTTTATTATGACTTGGCATTTAAACCTAATCGAGAATAGGGAAGTTCGAACTTTCACACTCAATTAAGCAAGCCTTACAATTTTGAGAAGCCTTTTGGCTCGTTTTAGGTAATGCGCTTGTGCTTATTGAATAGTTGTATATTAGTTCTCGTAAAAACATTGAACGACCATTACATAAACGTAATATTGTAATTATATGAGAAGTTAGGATGCTATTCAACATAATAATAAAAAAGTCAACTGGCTAACTCATAGAACGATTGTAAGTTTATTTAAATTTAGATGGGACGCCGACTCACCTTATTTACTTTTTATTTTGATGGTTTACTTCATATTAGAGAGTAATTATGGATGATGATAAGGTTCGACGGTTTTTACAGTCTTAACTACTAAATATATACCTAATTAATGTGCAAAGCTTTTTATTCAAGACGAATCTGCTTAATGTCATGCTCTTGGAATATTCCATGACTGTATAGCTTGTTGAATCCATATTCCTTACCAAGTGACTTTTATGAGATATCCCTTTTTACATATATTTAAGAGTTTTCTCGAATATATGCATCAGCTGGGATCCTTTTAAGGGTTAGCTTTGAATAAGGAATAAAATATTTTACCCAAAGAAGGCATAATTATGGGGAATAAATATCGTTTTTATGCTTCACTAATTCGGCGAACTCTGTCAGGAAAAAGCAAAATGGCAAGCTAAGTTCTTACTAATCGTTACCAAGATTCTCGTTGACTTTTAAATCGATACCATCATGTCAAGTCGTTAGTTTCACTTAAAAAAATACAGAATGGCCTAACTTCCGAGTGGTCTCATTAGATCTGCTATAAGACTTCCTTTTCACTTCTAAGTTCTCCATTATCGAGTTTGGATTCGGCTATTTACTATCAAAGATTCTAGCCTTAACCTGGGAGTATTAGAGGGGAAACTTAAGGAGAAACTATGAATGTATTGGTCTCCAATGTCTTTCAGGCATAGCCTGGTATCTCCTGTAAGTGAATCAACATGTAAAAATGGCATAAAACTATCTTGATCTAACGTCATAGCCCTAGTATCCCTAAATATTATTGAGCCTACTAGAAAAATATGCAATCTATTTGGTTCTGGCTTATATGTAAATGAGTAGCCTTTCACATACGGCACAAATAAACGAAGTTAAAAAAACATCCTATTAAACTCGGCCCGAATGTGCTAATAAGTATTGACTGTTGCTGGACATACTGATTTTGCGCATGATAAAGCACTTTGTTACATTCGATTACGCTTGAGTTCTTTTGAGGGCCTGAAGCAATTTAATCTACAAAAAACAGTCGAATATCATTATCGTATGCAGAATGAATAGGAAAACCTTCTATTTGGCATTAAAGCTAAAAAAGTTATTAAAGTTTCCTAATGAAGATAAATAGCAAGTAGGAAAATGTAGTGTAAACTTTTGGGTCGAAAGTACGCGAATCCCTCACAAACCCTTGGTAGCTCTTGGTCTTTATGTGTGCTTGCTGAGTTTAGAAGAGTGATTATTTTTCATTTCCAAGCTTCAAATTCATAGCATAAATTTTTAAGATAGCTTTAGTTAAATTACCATATCTGGACGTAGCTATTATCTGAGCTTCATAGAAAATAAACGACACACAGGAATCATTCCTAAGAAGCCTAATACTAACTGATATGGAATTTGGAGAAGTTAACTCGGATACATCTTAAGTCGTGACATATATTAGGAATAAGGCAATGACATCTAGTGGTCATGATGAGAAGTTGAAAATAAGGGAGCATAACAAATTAAAGGGATAGAGTAAAATTGATTAAAATGGCTACTCTACACTGAAATGGTCCGAAAGACACAGCCTCTGAGAATAAACTGGAACTTTCGTACGGTCCTTAAAGTGGGCACAATATTATCAAAAGTTTACATACGAAATAATAAAGAGTCTAATAAGATAAGATAGGAAAAGGAGTATTATACTTGAAGCAAAAGTGGATAAATGTAAAAGAAGATCTCCACAATAGTAGTTACATAGGACGCTAGACCAAAAGGCCTCAAAGAGTGTGAGGGGATGGAGGGAAGGTGAGGATAGATGATAGCTGGGACATCAATATTCTAAAGCAAAGACGAGTTAATAAGAGAAGCAGGCTTGAGAATCACAGTTTTGAAAGCTGTGGCTAAAATCGACGGATCATAGACAGCCGGTTAGATAAAATAAGAATATTTAAGTGCAGTACGTTGCAGCTCATAAAAATAGAGTGAAATGGATGGCAATGTGGAAGTAACAAAGATGATGAGAAATCCCTGGGGATAGCATTCAAGACATATGACAAAGAAGATGACGCTTCACTAAATCCACTTAAACGTATAAAATATTAGGAGCTATTTAAATAAATGAAGAAGAGGGAGTCAATGGCCTAATGCTGGAAATGATAATGATTACTATGGGAGAGAGATCAGAACTAGGTGCGTTCTAGAAAGTCTAAATATAGCTTCGTCCTATTCGTAAAATCAAAATCAATTAAAACTTATTCTGCTTAAATGATATGCGGTCAAAATTAAGCAACCTATCCCGGTATTCATATCTAAGATCCTATTCTTAAGTCCATGGTAATTAAGAGAGACATAAATTATTAATTGTTGCCTTTGGGTCTGCGCATAGAAGGGCAGTTTAATTATGTAGTTCAATAATATAATAATAACTATACTCTATAAAACATAATCTAGGACCATATATCTCACCTTTTTAACAAATAAAACTTATTTTAGAACCGAAGGCTTTTAAATAAAGGGTTCTGGAAAATAAATACATTTTATTACATAAGACAAGCGCCTACAGCTAAAAGGTTTAGCGTATATGAACTATCAAATTATTAGAAGAGAAAATTATACCTCAAAGAAAATCATAATCTTGTTGGGATTAAAAATTAAAAAAAATTAGGGTTGAAATATGTAATAATGATTTTTTTTATAATAAAATTATCTTACCGTTTAAATAATGGTGAACTTAAAATGTAACAAAAGCATTATTTTAGGATATACTGCTAGGTGCGACAAAATAATTTGCCCTACAAAAATATGGCAAAAAATTTACCATGTGAAATTGGTTCCGATTTTATGCTTAAACTTCAAGAAAATGCATGCTAATTAAAAAGCATTTGAATAATATAGAGTATATGACACAGGTAAGCTGAGGATTTATAAGCGAACTACATGTATGATAAAATCCATATAGGCTGGCTTTATATTTGCGATTTTAATGCATAATAAAAGTAAATACGGAATACTTTTCGGAACTTACATCGATTTCTGGCGGCTTAAAATTAGGATCCACTTCATTCTCTTCCTCGCTGGTTCCACGAAAGTTAGACTTTTTTATGACATTACTCGGAGATTTTGAATGGTTTGCCGGCGTCGATTTTTTTGATTTCTTTAGTTTCGTTCCGTTTACCGTTCGAAGCATCGATGTATTTATAGGTAAACTTATTGCATTTCCCGTTAATGGAGTGCTTTTATTTTTTGCTGGAGAGATCAATGGTAAAGCTAGCAGAGCAGTACCATCATTATCACATGACGATTTGTGAGTATCATTATTATTCAAATGGCTGACTTTAATTTCTGTGGTTGGAGTAACAGGAAATGGGCAATAGCAATCAGAATTAAAGTTCTTATCAGGATGAGAATCATTGTTATTTTGAGTAATAGGGTTGACCAATGTTTCGGACAAAAGTTTTATTGAGTCAGGAGAAGTAAATGGTGAAGTAACGGAGGATGAAATGGAAGAAGAAATATGGGATTTGGCGTACTTGGCTTCAGGATTACTTAGATCGACAGCACATATATCAGAATTGCCGTTAACAACATTATCAAGTGAACAAAAATGTGTAGAATCGGAACTCATTGACGAAAAATTAAGAGGACATGGAATCTCTGGTTGATAGATGGATGTAGAAGTTAAATGTGAGGCTATCATAGACGAACGGCTAGTGTTTTGTACTGAAGGAGAAATAGAATCATACGACTCTTGCGCATAGTTTTCGGTTATTTTTCGTGAAATAGCAGTACTCAACGCAGTTAATTGTTTGTTACGCGCAATTAGATTTAGCGCTTCTTGAAATTGTGATAAATATTTATCTATAATTTGCTGGAGACTAACAGCTTGAACAAGAATATTGTTGTATAAATTAGACAAATTTCCATAGCCCATAAGTATTGTGGATGGATATGGAACATTTTGAATGCTAGTATTAAAAGAATTAAGTATTG